CAGTGGAATCCAGGACGCACGTTTCGTCCTATTTTAGACTCATCAGTCACATGTACCTGCCTCTTAGTGAGCGATGTTGTTTCCACTAGGACGCGAGGTCGAGACCGATCGCTTCAAACGCTATAGTGTTATCCACTGGGCCAGTGAGTTACGATAGACACTTGTGCGACGGTTCAGTCAACGACGGCATAATACAAGTAACGGGATTAAAATTATACCCATCTCACAAGAAGTGGCTATCGTAACCTGGTGGATAACGCTTTGGCGTTTGAAGCGATCGGTCTCGAATTCGAGTCCCAGTGGAAGCAATACTGCTCACTGAGAGGCCATTGCATGTAGCCGGTGATTCCCAGATAGGACGAAACGCGCATTTTGGATTCCACTGCTAGCTGCTACTCATCATTAATATAAAGCTGAAGCACAGGTAATATCGAGGCATCTGTGCAGAAGGTCATATCCCAGTAGAGACAGATCAAATTCAGTCCAGTTAACGATAGGATAATACAAGTAACAAGAATATAATATATAGGTTGTAAAGTAGCTGAGGAAAGTACACGAAATACATGCATGCTAATTCTGCTACTAATGTTCTTCTTGCTTTATTCAAAATGTTTCAGTGATGGTGTAGGGAAATTCATTCTACCAAACGATAGACAGACATGATTTTTTTCGACTGAGAGTAAAGCAAGAGTCCCATAAATACTTTTTTATTTTTCCAACCAATGCCATTAGTTCATAACTCTCTTCTTGTGCATATCTGTTGTATATGTGTGTATATGATCTAATGTCCCCAATTCTTCCGGTGATCACATCTAAAGATTGTGACTGTATATTAAATTTATTTAGAAGTAGTATTCATCATGGACTGACATCAGTTGGGGAACCATTGAAAACCTGGGAGCACTAGACAGCTGTTTCGTTTTAGTATGGGACACCTCAGTAGTACGCACCCACGACCCCGCCACAGATCGGACTCAGGACCTTCAGGTTTCACGGCGAACGCGTTAACCATTCAGCCACTGGGTCGGTTTCCAGTGTTTCACAATTTCAAACTTCTGTCAATTCACGACATAGCGCGACTGTCACGCAAGGTCTTCAGTTAGCATCCACTTCACCGACGACTGGTTGATCCCACAGGTCACGGCTTCTCATTAGAACTTCCTAACATCTATCTGGAAGCAAGTCACCACTAGGACGAAACAGCTGTCCAGTGCTCCCAGATTTTCAATGGTTCCCCAACTGATGTCAGTCCATGATGAATACTACTTCTAAATTAAAAATACCCATTCATCTCAAAAATATATTGAATTTATCTTTCCTCGTGATTACTATTTCAGTGGAGATGCCTATTACAAAACTTTTTCCTAGTATAAGGATTTGATAGTTGAAAACGGTTTGTCAAGCATGGCAGACAACAAAAATAGTGTCAATAAATGAGCTGTCATTAGAATCAAAAAATCAAAACTGGATGAATATTAATCAAAATAAGTTTGGACAAGAAGTTTCGTAACATGATGACATAATTGGAAACTGAATTGTGATCAGGTAGAGTATAGTAACATGAATGAGTAGCAAATTATTTAGGAAGTGAATAGTGTCAAAATAGAAAAATGCAAATAAAAAGGAGAGAGTAGACCATGTAAAGAGAAGAGGTTGAACAATCTTCTTTGGTGTACACAGTTCAGGTTTTTCCACATGAGTGACAAGCGCTTCGGCAATGCGGAGAACATAAAGGTATATAGCCTTTCGGAGACTCCTTTTCATTTTAAAGATGACTTTGAACAAGGAGGTTCTTGAGATAGTGTGATTCGTGTTCACGATGTGTTTAATTAATTGTAGTACTCCCCATCGCTACATTGTTACCTCTTTGTAACCACGCGGGATAGTGTTCTTGAACCCTTTTGTATAACAGTCGCATCGAACGGCCTACATATCTGGCTCCATAAGAGCAGGTGAATTGACATATGCACATAGAAGTGGTCAGATGCGAAAGTTTTACCTTTGAGTTGTTAAAAATCGTTAGGTGACAAGAGAATACTAGTCTCAGCGTTGATGAAAAGAATGTTCTCCTTAGAGCGTTTGATATCCTCCTTTTAAGAGTGTCAGTTGCAGAATCAGCTTTGAAGTTTAGATTCCTGTAGAGTGTCTTTTTGGCATGGTGGTAAAGTTCTCTTTTTTGCGAGGTTTAGGCTTGATGTGTTTCTCTATGAAGCATAGTGGAAATCTGTTTCCAATCAGGATGCTTTTTAGAACAGAAATTTCCTCTTCTAACACATCGGGGCCGCAGATTCGTCTAATGCGAGTGGCAAGAGATATGATCAGATTTTGCTTATGACTCACAGGGACTTAGCTAATAAATTTTGACACTATTCACTTCCTAAATAATTTGCTACTCATTCATGTTACTATACTCTACCTGATCACAATTCAGTTTCCAATTATGTCATCATGTTACGAAACTTCTTGTCCAAACTTATTTTGATTAATATTCATCCAGTTTTGATTTTTTGATTCTAATGACAGCTCATTTATTGACACTATTTTTGTTGTCTGCCATGCTTGACAAACCGTTTTCAACTATCAAATCCTTACACTAGGAAAATGTATGAATTTGCGATTATACAGCTTTGAAAATGAAAAGAGTCTCTGCGCTGAAATACTTGTTCTTCTTTCATATCCTGATGAGTATATTTCACACATATTATTTATTTTTTTTATTTTTCAACTGAAAAATGTAAAAGAGAGTTGTCTGTGATAATGAATTCAAGCTACATAGTTGTGAGTTGTTAGAGAGACTTTGTGCAATATGGTTAAGAATGGTTCACAATCTAATAGATGTATTTATTCTTTATCTCCTGTATACTCCTTAATGCCTTAACAATATTTATTTATTTACCTACTACTATTTCAACTATTTGTTGTCTATTTTAATGTCTTAGTGATGGATAGTGACTAGCATTGGAAATCCAGGATGCGCGTTTTGTCCCATTTGAGACTTGTCAGCTGGATGTACCTGCCTCCCAGTGAGTGATGTTGTCCCCAACGGGACTCGAACTTGAAAGCGATCGCCTCAAACGCCAGAACGTTATCCACTACACTACTGAGCCACGATAGCCATTTCTTGTGCGACGGGTATAGTTCTAGTATAATTGCTTGTATTATATTATGCCGTCGTTGATTTGAACCGATCTGACCGCTCTCTATTGGTATATGGGCTCCAGCTGACGAGTCCCAAATAGGACGAAATGCGCATCCTGGATTCCACCACTAGCCACTATCCATCATTATTATAGTTAGAACAAAGGTAATATCGAGGCATCCGCACAGGAGCCCATATGCCAATAGACACCGATCAACGACGGTATAATACAAACAATTATATCATTTTAATGTTTATTCACTTTCTTCGGTTTTAATAAAGCAATTTGGAACTGGTACACTTCTGTTTGTTAAATAAACTTTTGAATACAACTCAGACATTAAAAAAAACACGAATTATGTATTAAGCTATTGGATACATTTGAAGCATGAGGATACATTTTTCCAAGTTGGTATTCATCATGGACTGATATCAGTTGGAGGAACATTGGAAAACTGGGAGCACTAGACAGCCATCTCATCTTAGTATACGACTCCTCAGCAGTGCACACCCATGACTCCATCCTGCCAGGCATCGAACCAAGAACCTTCGGGTTCCGTCGTCAGCATGTTACCATTGAGTCACTTAGTCGGAATCCGATGACCCATACTTCCTACTTCTATCAGTTAATGATATAGCGTGACCTACATCCAATGTTGTCGTTGAGTAACTGTCCTCATGTTCGACTTGGTTGACTTCACTGGTCACGAATTCTCATTGAAACTTCAGGAATCACCCTCTTGCACCACTGAATTTCAACCCAGTGGCTAAGTTGGAACGCGCTGGCCATGGAACCTGAAGGTGCTGGGTTCGATCCCTGGCATGGTCGTGGGTGTGCACTACTAAGTCCCATGCTACGACGAAACACTTGAAGAGTGCTTCCAGGTTTCCAGTGTTCTTTCAACTGATGTCAGTCCATAATGAATAACAACTTGAAAAAATCTCTGAATCCCCACAAACCCCCAAATTAATTTCTTTCAATTTATTGACATTACCGCTGAAAACTGAAGTTACACTCAACACTGAAATGGAAGCTTAACGTTATGCTAGTGTAGAAAGTCAGTTTTAAACTTTTTCATTTATTCTGTTGCATTTGTTCTAGGGCAACACTACTGTACCATTTACAATAAGCTTTGATATGAATCTACACTAAATTGATGTCGCTATAACCATGTATATCTACTTTTTTATCTAATCTTATATGACGACTGCAATAAATTAGCATATCTTATCACTACGATACAGAAGTCTGATAACGAAAAGAAAAATAAACGCAATGCTACGAATTTATTCGTTACTCATCAACTTTCATACTATATTAAATTGTTTATTGAACGTCTGATGTTTAGTATATATCGAAAAATGATAAATCTTTTCCGCCGAGATACTGTAACCTGATTGGTTGTTTTGGCAGTTGTTAGGATGGCCTATAATGTCGCCCGCGAAATATCGAAACCGGATTAGTGATTACAGTAGTTACTGAGGTGGCCCTTTAAAGTCACTCCGATAAATTAGTCCATCGTACAGTTTATCTAGACAGTATTACTCAGAGGTTCCACCTACACACAAAATTACAGTTAGGATTAGTCCTTTTTTGAGTCAACCGGATACAGTTTATTTGGTAGGGTATGTACCTCACTGAAAGTGCAAGAGTTTATAACATCTGCACGGTTGTTGAGGCTCCAGTAAATGGAGTTAAGCTTGAATCAAAGCCTAATAGCTTGGGAGTTGAATGTTAACGCCAATAAGTCATACGCAAAGTAGTTGAAGTCATCTAATCATAATAAATATATTCATTCTGTTCAATTAATTATCATTGCCAATATCACACAATATGATTATAACATACTACATAACTTACCAAATAGCATAAAATATAAAGCATTTTTCTTGAACAGGTGTAATCGGCTCAGAACCACGACAACAAGTACCATCAGAGAATTTCATTTGGTTGTTGCAGTACAGATTTAAGAGAATTTGTACATTCTGTAAAACATTTATAAGTAGTAAGATGAAGTAAGTAGTAGTTATATGCTACAGATTACAGTATCACTATGCATATTGAAATCATAAACTGTTGAAAAGTAAACACAATCACAAAAAAACAACTAAGTAATAAAGTATATCTTTGTGAAGAAGTTTATTAGCTGACTGCTACAATTTCTTTTTAATGGGCTCATGCAACCTTGTGAACACTCATGAAGTACGCAATCAACCACATCTATGGTGAGAGGGATAATGATACTATCACCTAGCTGCCCAAACTTCAGTAAATGGAGAGGTGCTCCGACCCATACACATTGCCTGAAAGTCATCTCTCTAAGCCAAAGAGCCACAACTCCGCACTGGCACAGTAATAGATGGTTCCTAATGGTTAAATGAGGGTGAAACGCATCTCAATAAAGTCTCCACAACCCTGAAGAACTAAGTTCAGCCCAAACCTTCCAAAAGACATTCCTCTAGGGGCCTAGCTCGTGAATTTAAAAGGATGATAGATTCACAGCGGTGGCCCCCTTCACACTATTAAGTTACAGCCAGGGCTAACGACACCGGCATTCCTGATCGAATATCGCTTGCCTCCACAAGGTAAGACTACGCCCGTTTTCGGAGATTGCTTCAACAATGATGATTACCAGAATTACGAAGCTAGATTCACCCTACTCTTCGGTTTCACTGCTCCCAACGAACTGGGTGGGCGGAGTACTGACGGCTAACAAAACTGTCCGTGCTTTAGAGACCTGTGTCACTGATCTTGCAGATACGCATCTCATCGACCGTAGTTTTTGCTAAGTTAACCTGAAGGTGTATTGGTTGACATCTATTGGGGCCGAGAGGAGGTTCACCGTCATCAGCAACTAGGCTTGACCCATAATTTCCTGTCTTCAAGCACCATCAATACAAACCCAGCCCCTCCCCCTAGCCACACCATATAGAGCTTCTTCATACTGACGCCTTGGCACGTAAAAATGGAGCGGATGTATAATACCTAGACAGTCATAGGTACTGCCACTAAAGGTCTTCAACTGTTAATTACTAACAGCTTGAGGACTGCAGTTCCAAAGATTATACCTCCCAGCAGAATCCAGACCAATTGTTGGAGACTTCATAGACTGATGTTATATTTTGGTCTGGTCGTCCTGCGTTTTCTTGCTACTCCGGCTAATGCCGAACATCTAGGTAGACAGAGTCTCCGCACAAAGGATGTGTGCTCCAACCAATTCAGACGGTGAAGGTTCTCAACCCCAGTACTAATTTATCTTTCTTGTTAGGAACTCTGACTCTATAGTTCCACCGCACACGACATATATAGTGAAGAATTTAGAGTTTAAGTATACCAATGTAAGTCAAGGCTTTCAAGCCATTCGATGATATAGTGAATTTATAGTGACTGGGGTAGCTAGGAAATGCCAATGCATCATCTACCTTCAGATGCAACGTTTTATTTGGAGTTAAGTTAGGCTCGAAGAAAGACTAGTCAAAAAATGAGATGAGTCCATGAAATTATCTTCTGTTAGTTTGTGCCAGATAGAGAATAAAAAGTTAGGAACTTTGAAGATATAGTTTAAAGTCGATTAGAAGGTTGCACATGTGACAACTGCTTATCATCTTTAAAATTTTGAAAGTTTTGTTAAGTTGTTGTTTCTTCTAAAATCTTCGTTGTTTATTTTAATATCATTCTCCTTCTGATGGTTATTTTCATTGTCTCATGTTGTGAATTCTTGCAACTTTATTAGATGCGACCTTACTTTGTCCCTCTGCAACCTACTATATGCTAGTTGTGACTATATCTGGTTGCTTCAAGATGGAGAGGCAGAACAAAGTTTAAAACTGTTACTGACTGGTTAAAAGTTGAGTGACTAAGTCGTAGAACTACAGCTGATCTTGGTTTGCAATCGCTCTCACTTTAGACCTAACAGATTTGTTACGATCTCAATCGGAAACGCTAACATAATTCCCTCTTTTAAACTGATGCTAAATTTTTGTACTTTTCAATTCATTTATGATATTTGACTACTGTGCTGTGTATGCGTTTCACTCTTTACTTTCTTATCTCGGTTATTCTTTTCATCATATGATTCATCTACAGAACTCATTTATTTAATTTATCTAAATTTTTACTGTGTACAAAGCTGTTTTGTAAATCCTTCCTAAAATCATATTTATGTTTATATGTAACCTAATAGCATTACTTTCCGTTTGCAAAGTGATAAAATAGCAATAATAACATTATTGTGTCACTGAAGAAAACACTTTTTAGTATTTCAGCATGAAGGTTGACCGTAGTTTGACTCTATATCGTGAGTTTCAGTTTCGCTGACTACCAGTACACCTTTACACATTATTCGATAATAAATGAATATGAAGATAATAGTGGTTGAAATTGTAAGAAAGGCTGAGTGATCGTAATATTTCAAGTCGCTGGTTCGAATGCCATATTGAAGAATGTTTTCTTTCAGGTTCGGTTATCATCTCTGTGTATATGAAAAGGATCATTCTATTAGTCGAGGTTATCTTAGATAGCCTAATTAATGATAATTAATTAAGAAAATTAATTAATTAAGAAATGAATAAAGATTGAGAAAAAAGATACAATACTGGCATACAAAACTCATTCTAATAATTTTCGACGTTATGAAACGATGTCATATCTGATTTTGATTACTTTAGGAAATGCGAAAAATTGCAAGAAAATACAAGTTGAACAGAATAACATAATATCATTTTATTTCATAAAGTTTTTATAAGCTGCTTACAAATTAACACTATAAGTCATCTCGGCATAGCTGAATCATCAGTAATTCATACATCTTAAATTTGACGTGTTCATAAACACCATAATAGACTCACTAACCTTTCCTTTTTATTAACATCTCCAACCATTTTATGATATTTTCCACTATACATATTTCGATTTATTATCGCTTAACTTTTTCTGTACTTTTAAATTGATTGATTCCCTTCCATACTTATTACTTCATTTGGTTCCAGTTCCTACAACTACTCTTCTCCTCAAAATTATCATTCTTATAACGTGACAATTTTCTATAATGTTCCACTATTATCCAATATGTTTCAATTAATTTTATCTGGAGGTTTATTAATTGATTTTAAGTTGAAAAAAAAACCTCCAGATAGAATTATCTTAGTACTCATTGATGACTAGCTTCGAGAGATAATTCCCAAAGTTCCAATGAGAAGTCGTAACCAACAGGAGTCAACCAATTCGAACATGAGGACAGTTACTCAACGACGACATTGAATGTAGGTTGGGCTATATCGTGAACTGATAGAAGTAAGAAATGTGAACCAGTGGATTCAGGCCCAGTAGCCCAATGATAACGTGTTGGCCAAGGAACCCGAAGGTTTTAGGTTCGATCCCTGGCGAGGAGGGGTTATGGGTGCGTACTGCTGAAAAATCCCATTCTAGGACGAGACGGCTGTCCAGTGCTCCCAGTTTTCTAATGTTCCTTCAACTGATGTCAGTTCATGATGAATTCTCGCCTAAAATTCAATTAATTTTGCTGAATATAAACATGGTTTCATGTACAAATTCCTTTCTATGAGTTTGAGGTGGGCAAGAAGAAGAATTGTAGTTCCTGCGCTTTTTGAATAAATACGACTGTATAACTTCTGAAAATAAGGTCGTCAAGAAGAAATGTTACTCTTTCGTTGTGACGCTTTACCTGTATAACTTACAATACGGCTTGATCTTTACTGCTTTCTTATATTTGATGGCATAACCTTCTGATATCTCATTATTATTTTTTTTGTTTGACTCTTAATTTTTTCTGGCAGCTTAATTTAACACAGATTGTTACGTAACCTGTTTGTTAATGTAGGTCATCTGATTTATTTGTTGCCTTCTTTACGCATTTCCTCATACTGAACGTCCGAACATTGATATTATCAACAGAAATTTTTCAAAGGGTTTCGCTGAACAAAACACAGTGATGCCACGTATTATACTAATCAAACCTATCTAGTATAAAATAGCAATCTATCAAAGTCCCCAGAAAGTAGTCGTCTCCCATTAAAGAAAGATATCGACGACGTCAATAAAGTACGTATACAATTTGTAACAGTTAAGCATCTTATAACTGCACATGAAACTTGTGAACGTATCAGATAACTGAAACTTTTCATTATACCCTAATAATTTTATCACGAACGCTAATATTCCCTACTAACTATTAAATTCATAGGTCTCTAACCTAAAAATGTTTACTTACTTCCAGGTGAGTCAGTTGACACGATTGTAAACCTACATCAACTGAGATGGTTGGGATATGTGTCACACATGCCTAGTCGCCATCTCCCTCTCACACAATGTTGGTTGAAGCAGGTTCAGATCGGAAAAAGGCTCGAGGTGACCAGACTAAAACATGGCATCAGTGTATAAAGTCTCTGACTGTTGGTTTGAGCCGTATGGGGCGATGTAGACAAGGCAGTTGGGGTCTGCGGGACAAGAGGAACCAGTGGTTGGGGACTGTAGGTGATATAGCTCAGAACCGATGTCAGTGGCACAGATGTATACACACATTATCTTCATCTTAACGATGCTATACTGAATCTCACTATTTTCTCATTCTTCCTTTCTCTCTTTTCGTACTTTGTATTTCTTTCGACTGAATTTTCTTTTCTTCATCTTCCACTTCACAGCCTTTTTACTTGATGTACTGATATGAACTGTGGCGACTTGGACCGTTACGCAGTAATGGCTGATCCTATGTTGATTTTGATGGATGGGATGTATTTCAGCTACACTAAGTATGAGGCCTTATGACATAGGTAAGTAGGTTAGTTGTATTTCGAACCTAAGACTCAATGGTTAAAAATCGATTCCTAGGGCTAATCCACCATGCTTCAACCATATTTTTTTATTTTACCAGGTAATTAGCTGCTAACTGACCTCATTTTCCGGCACATACATGTCTTGATATAATCCAGTATATGAACAAAAAGACAAAATAATATCAATAGTACAAAAGATTGGAGAGGGGTACAAAGTAATACTAGAAGTTATATCATGTTGACGATCATGCTTATACAAGTGGTTGAACAAATTTCTCGACAATATAAAAGTGGATTGTATCGCTTCTGAAATGTGAAGTAGACAAATGCGTTATCCATCTGTTAAACTAACAAGTATACGATAAATAGTTTTAAATGGTCTGTTAGTATCCACTCGATATCCAGTGCCAGTATAGAGCCATTTATTATTTTAATTTGCCTTTTAGTCAGCCATAATGGATAGAACTCAGGTTCAGAAATTCGACGATGGAACTGTCTCGTCATACGCTCCATATGTAAGGAAGAGGCCCAAACGGAAATCAACATTTTAAGTCATCCACCGCTTCATATCACTGTGTGGTCAGGATAAACCTTATTTGACAATTTATCCTACAATTGACCAATCAGAGTAAGTTATTTAACTTTTGACCTAGTGTTTTTACATGTTAATGAAAACTTTATATAAAAAATGTATTTTTGTCGAATAAAGCGTTTTCCATAGTCACAAGCCGGTCTTTCCCTTTTGATTTTCGTAGCTCAATAAAGTATAAGGTACTGAGACAGAGCAGTCACTATCTGTATCCAGTTCAAGTATCTCATCACTTTAATATCGTTTCACGTACTTATTTATTACTTACTCGGTCAGTTCAGCTATTCATGTGTTAAACGATAAATACGATAAATAATTTTAAATGTCTTATTAATATTCACTTGACAACCATTGTTAACTTAGCTGTGCAAGTAAAGAACTCTTTATTATTCTAATTTGCCCTTTAGTCAGTCATGAAAGGTGGTGCGCAGGCTTAGGAATTCGACAATACGACTGCCTCATCGTACTCTCTATGTAACTAACTCTAGATGAACTGATAAATGTACATGGAAATGGCAAAATTAGATAATCTATCTTTGATTCATTCACCTAGGATCGAAAAGTTGTAAAAAATAGGAAATAATTTAGCGACTAGAAATACTCTTTGTTGAACTCATTGATGATCTCGTTAACAATATCACTCTTGAAATCTAGTTTTAAAAAGATTGGTTTCTTGGGATTTGTTACCATTATTAACTTTGATACGCTAAGTTATATCTTGTCTGAATATCTAACTCTATGGAACAGAAGGGATGAGATTCCTGATTCACTCAGGTCAGCATGTGCACAATGTTTCCAGTTTTGATCTTGATGCTACACAGATAAAGGTTTAATCCTATGATAAAAACTTTTGTTATGGTCGTGATGCAAGAAATAAGATGGTAATGTGATAACTAATATGCATAGACAGAAAGAATGGAACTCTAATTATCTAGTGAATAAGGTTGATAGCATCGATGTGATTATAGTCTGAAGAAATCAACAATTTTGAACTAACCTCCTTCATGGCTTTATCTGATACATGATACCCGTCCGAAAGCATCGGCATTTCCAAACATACATTACCAGAAGTATTATTTTTATATTCCAATGATGCTGAAAAATAAATTAACAACCAATAATATACACTTTTATGTTAACATTTTGAAACAAAAAACAAATATAAGTTCTCAAATATTATTTTTTAGTACGACCAACAAGAGTAAACCTCCTAGCTAAGAGAGAATCTGTGATGCTTACTGCTTCTTAAATTGATTACAGTTCGCTTTTCAAGTAAATTCTTATTTTCCAAAGTGGTGACGCGACAACCCATTAAAGCTTCAACCAGAACAGACATTTTGTATGAGGGTTACCAGGTTGTCTGAACTATGGAACGCAAATACTTCTGAGTCATATAGTGATTACGTGAGTAGTTATCTACTTAGTAATAATCAGGCAGAACGGGTTGAACATTGCAAAGTAGCCCTTCGACTTAAATTGTCACAGAAATAAAAAAAAATTAGTGAAAGTAACAGGAAATTCGAGCAATTAAGAAGATGAAGAGGAAAGAAAACAAACAAATGAAGTCATAAAATATTGAAGAATCAGCAGCAGATAGGCTAAGTGTATTTCAGTCACTGTAATTAGGTTTTTCGCATGTTATCTGATATCTTCAACTATTGGTTCGCATCATGTACCTTGATATGTCTCATAAAAAAGACCTCCCTACACAATTCAGAAATAAGATTAGTGACGTCATTAATTTCTGTCTTATAAGAATTTGGTCAGCAGTCGGGCCTCGTATCTCAGTTGTTAGGGCATCGGGCCGTAAACCCAGTGGTCGCTAGTTCGAATCCCGCCACGGCCCAAATTTTCATTTCACCTCCAATCATAAACCAGTATCTTATCTTCATCTAACTTCTGTCCCATCTTTTATTCTGGTTAGTATAGTACGTTGATAGAGGTATTGATTTGTCATGCATAACATTATATCCTATGTACCATATCTAACAATCTCCTTTACTTAGAATCTGATAGCTAACTTTAACAATACTTAACCTCCAAAATACACAAAATCGATAATAAAGAGGAAAACTTGCATATTCACTGCTACAACTATTACACAAGAAGTGTGGTAGACTTACAAACAACATCACAGTTTATTAATATCTAGGCAATGGTTGTTCCGAATGTCCTGAAAGGGGTTATTCTGCTGAAGTTGTGGCATACCCAGTGAAACGTTCAGAAAAATCTTGTTTTTGATTTTTTAAACACACTTTATTTGATTTACTCCGAAGTTTTATTAATGTACAACTCTCCGAAGGCTGATGTGACCCTATCTTCAGGTAAGCAAAGTGGTCAAAAGACTCAATTGTGCCGATGTATATCTTAAAACTACATAGTTCTTCGACACATTAAAAAAAAGACATTACGAAACTGCCATGAGCAAACTGAATTGGGTTTATCCAGGTATTTTTGATACGGCTCTATTTGATCATGTGAATGTATTCGAAGTATATTGGAATCAAAGGATACATAATGTTCCATTTGACTCCTGATTACTACATTAAGAGGTCGTAAGTTTGGTCAATCTTATTTCTTCGAGGAGTAGTGTTAACGATTGTTAGCTTTACAGTTGACGCTGCTCACTTCTTTTCTGATGAATTTCATGGTTTACATTAAGAGGGGTAGTGGTTAATCATGTTTCTAGTATAGTCTACACTCAAAGAGGGTGCAAAAACTGGGAAGCAGTTTCTTCAAATATTTCGGTCTATTTTCTGAAAAAAGAATTCTCAGCTAAGTTTAAAATTCAGAAATAAGCACCTTTTCTTTGATCTCTTTTTTCCTACAATGTATTTCCGTTTATCTAATTGGTATTCGTACAAATACTTTTTTAAATGAATTGAGATTGTACTTGGAAGAATCCAAGGTTCGATTCGCAGTGATTATTTCCGCGTGAGCATTCGATATTACTATAGTTTTTTGGGTAAGGTATTCCAGTTTGTCAGATAATAACATTATTAACAAAGAAAGTGACCGAACAATGGCAGGCAGTACTTTGGTCAATTTACGGTGACAGAACTCAAAGCATTGAGAAAATGATAACGTGGAAAAGCGAAAAATGAAACGATAATAAAGAAACAGAAGGGTGTAGAGTGGAAACAATATTCAAGATTTTTAGCAAGGAGAATAATGAACGAATCGATGTGATGATAATCTATTTTTTAGAATTTTTACTGGTACTTTGCTTTTATGACCTATTATGTCTGTCATGATCACCCATCCTATCTATATTAGCTACAACACATGGCTTGAAGGTCTATCATACATGACAGGTAACACTGGAAATAGAAAGTTGCAGGTCGAAACAGCAAGTCGCGGTGCTAATTTTAATGATATGTAACAGCAGTAAATGAAATAGCATCTGTAGTGATGCCATATTTACACTGTCGGAAGAAGTTATATATAGGTGACTCTAACTAAACAACACAACTATTATTTCATGGAATTCCGATGAGGGTGGTGTTGACTTTTTAAAAAAGCATAGAGTCGATTTTATAGGATCTTAAACCGGATATATATATATATATATATATATATATATATATATATATATATATATATATATATATATATATATATATATATATATATATATATATAACGTCTACGGTCACGTTCCCAAGTCGATGAAGTCACTAACATTCATTTCAGATATCTGTATACGTAATCTTTCACGACGTGAGCAATCGATAAGTGGTGATAACAGCGCTTTAGTCCCCTTTTATCATAGTTGACCCTCTTCTTCTACCTTACTTTGAACAGCATTCCTTAACGTCGTTAGTAAATTATTCATGTTAACTATTAAAATCATCCACTCATCACTATGAAATACCATGAGAAGAAAAACTTAATGTTTCATAGCACCAAATGAGGTAAACTTTAATTATGATAAACTTACATGTAACAGCTGTCATTTTATCAAAATTATTTATACTTGTAGACAAGGTCTGAAGTCGACGACAATTCCAGTTGATCGTTGGAAATCCAACTTCCAGTGCAATTAGACGATTTGAACTCCATATTTCTACACCAGTTACATATTTCCTTTATTAAAACATGAAAAATTCTCAGTAAGATGAATTCGGTTGCATGTTTTAGTAAATATTTCAATATCTATTTTGGTTAATAAAATCGTTATGCTTTTGTTAAAAATTCTTCGAAATATTTATTATCTAAATTCGCTGGCTAGTTATATGAATTTAAAGGTAGTATTTATTATGGGCTGACATCAGTTGGAGAACCACTGAAAACTTGAGTGAACTGGACAGTCACGATATACTACGAATTGATAGAAGTGAGAAACTGTGGACCACTAAACTATGACCCGAAGGATGAATGGCTAACGCATTCGCCGTGAAACTTGAAGGTCCTGAGTTCGACCCCAAGCGGGGTCATGGGTGTGTACTGCTGAGTCCCGTACAAGGATGAAACAACTGACAGGTGCTCTCACCTTTTTGATGGTTCTCCAACTGATGTCAGTCCGTAATGAATAATAACTTGAAATAAAATTCCCATATACATCAAACTTTATGAATTTTAGACGGTTCCTGATATAATGACAAACATTATTACTATGTATGGAAGGAATAGAGTGTCTCTGTAAGTGTGCGTGCAGTCAACAATCTGAAATTGCCTAGAATGTTGACGATGACTTCTTATTGATGGGATACGAGAAGAAAGACAGAACAACTTAGAACATTGTACAAACATATATCCATATTATATCAATATTAGCAAATAAAATTTACAGACAAAAAGATATTAAAATAAACGAAACAGAAAAATACGACAAGTGGAATTTATCGACTATAGATTCATGAAAAAAATTTGATGATATTAGATGAATATATCTTGCTAATTTCAAATAAATTCCAAATCATAACTCATGAACATGAAGATATAGATAAAACACCAAGAAGAGAAACTAAATTAAGTTCATGTAGTATCTGTCTGAGACCAAAACAATGACCATTTTGAGGAAATCTGTTGAAGCGCTTATATGAAAAATACGCAACACTGGTCCACCTTCTGCGGGGGTGTCATCTTAAGAAACTACTGGTCGCGTTGTTGAGGAAAATTGCCACACCAGAGAGTGTTGACTTCAGCTGCTTGTACTGAACTGTTTGGGCATCTTTTCCTTGTAACTGAGATATTACAAAAGAGAATGGGAAACGCTCATAGACGTTATCATGCGATCCTTGCCACGAGGAAATGAGCATACCATAATATCCTGGTGGAGGGATTGGACGAGGTAATCAAACACGATCTCCCGCTGAATCCGTAGGTTCTTGTGTGAGCCAGTTGTCGCCTAACTTATGACGGTATCCTACAGTCCGTGAATATGTCACAGCAAACCATACTGCCCACGAGGAAATGACACAAAGTGACGAGGATACAAAAGGAATGCTGAGGGGGGCTACTCGGTTCCTTCATAACCCTTATATTCTCAGACTGCTACGATGACGCAATTTCAGGATACCTTTCTGTGTACCATGCCTCCGTTCACTTATGAACAGAGTTTTCGGCTACGAATTATGCCTACCACTGCAAATTCAAATACAGATGCTTTACTGTGGATCCCATACATTCGAGATCTTCAGAACTGCTTGCGTGAAGAATACCACCCAGTACGAGGTCATTCACAGACTTTGGGAAATCACTATAAGTCAACTGACGACTGGCTCACACAAGAAACTACGGATGCAGCGGGAGATCGTGTTTGGCTACTTCATCCAATCCCTCTACCAGGATAATTCGGTGAGTTTATTTCTTTGTGGCAAGGACCGCATGATAACGTCTATGAGCGTTTCCCTATCAATTATAACCAATACGGTAATCTGCCTCAAAAAGCTTATCAGTAGCTACCGAATACGACGTTCCAGCGCCTTCCGATCCTAGTCTTAGCACTTCGATAGTATTTATTTTCAGAGAGCGGATGGTTTTAAGAACATTGGGGACTATACTGTACTTGAATTCGTAATTAAGTGTCACTCATTTACTTTTGTCATTGGTGTCGACATGATACAGATCATATCAATTAAGCGACTATGTGAACGAATTCCATATGAACGGGTAAACTCTGTGGCTATTTTTATGATGGAATTCTTTTCGGTGAAGAAGTCTGTCATAGCTACACTTTCTACACTCAGTTTTACGTTCTGGGTGTTGTGTTCTGGTAATCAAGTGGACTATAGCTCTTTTATACAGGCTGAGCTTGCCGGGAACCACACCACATAAATTGATATTGCAAGTGAGATGGAGACCCAGAAATCGATATCATTTGGAATGCTGAACACTCAAAATCAACACTTTATCCAACTAACAGTATGACTTTATTCTCAGGCCTCTATCACAGCGTAAATTCTTTACAGTATGATAGTGGTTATTTTCAGTTTTTTCCACATTTTAAATGATTTTCATCGGCATAGTGGGACTCAAGGAACAATCGTCTTCGCATAAATGACTGGTTATAACATGATAGCCTAGTGTAATTGTCATAACAAAGTTGAAAATGTTGATAATAGCAACATTATTATTATTGTCGTTAACATATTGAGCTAGAAATAACAAGCAAGCGATAATTTTAAACACATGGATAAGATGTGTAGATGAATGATGAACTGAGCAACTAAGCTTAGCGATTTAACTCCTAAAAGTAACTCTATTTCATTTGTCGAGTCTTTAATATCAGCTTTCACATGAATACATGATTATTGGTAACTTTAACCCGAGAAAAGGATAGAAATCCCTTTGTGATAACCAAAAGAGATCAGCACAACTAGCATAGTCATAAAAATTATTGAACATCTTAACTAGAGCTCAGGACGAGAGAACCCAAGAGAATCAGATACGTTTCAGACCTGGGGACGTGAATGTACCAGTCATATCTGGCACACTTCTATCAGGTTTTGAAACACAAATAGTAACACTTTATCTCAACCATATGGCTTAACCTGAAGGTGAAATTTGACTCCATCGATCAAAGATCGTGTTATAGCATCCCCCACTAAGAGATGTCTGGTAAGTGTACCACTGTACTGAATGTCTATGTATCAGGAAACATAAAGTTGAGACGGTCTATTGGGGTTGATAAACACTAATTAGGAATGAGCACTTTCCTCATTTTTATTGTTAACACAAATCCACTACTAGATATTACACCTTCTGCTTTCGGTGCCGAACCGACTGATCTCATGTCCAATCATTCCTCAGTAGACACTCAAAGTGAACAGGTAGTACAGATCGACAAAACGAAACAAATAATGATGTATTTCAATTAATCAGTTGTTTCACTTATGAAAGAAGTGTAATCGACTCCATTATTTTTGTGTCTGAAGAAATCCTTGCATGAATAGAAAAGACACCACTGATACATTTCAAACTTTACCAAATGTGGCACCGATATGGTATCAAGGGTCCGATTAGACCATGTAAAGAAGGCATAGATTAGGAACATAGCATCACAAAATTCTGACAAATCAACGTAAATAGTTCATCAGCTTAAACATTTGAGACATATCTTATGTCCGCTTAGTAACTACCTAAGTTGAATCACTGTACAAATAAGGGAAGTAGATGTAAGTAAAAACCATCAAATCATGATAAACAAACGCAACCAACCAACTGGGTTCCTAATGTTGAAACCATCATCAAAAAAGACATGAAGCTCATAGAGACTCAGCGCAGGTGGCTAAAACGTTCAGCAGGACACTTTGAAGCTCAGTTCAACTGACCCACAACAACGCTTCAGTTGCCCAGCATCTATCATGAACCTGAATAGTACGTAAATGTCAGCCTTCCAACTCTCATTGAAGTTGAGAAGGCTATGTTAAGCCTGAAAGGACGTTGAGCAGCAGGACCTGATAGTTAGCCACCCAACGTTTTCAAAATGGAGGTGGGAAATGGCTGATTGAAGTGGTGGAGTTACTAGGTAGTGTATGGAAAACAATGGTAGTGCCACCAGACTGGTATATTTTACTGACCATCCAAGTATACAATAAAGGCGAGAAATCTCCTTGTGACAACTACAGGGGAATTAGTTTGACTACCATTTCATCTAAGATCCTAGGATCTATAGTTATCCGACGCTTAATTGGAGCTCAACAGTGGCAAATTCGAGAAAACCAACCAGATTTCAGACCTGGACGAAGATGTGTCCATCATATCTTAACCCTCTGACAGGTCCTCAAACATAGGCATACCTACCGGCCGACACTTGCCATATTTCCTGGCCACAAGGCGGCATTTGACTCAGTTGACCATGAGGTGTTGTTGCACTATCTGACTGTGAAATGAGTACATAACAATCGTATAGCACTAATCAAAGGTCTCTACTCGAACTCACAGAACCATGTAAGGACTTATAGAGAGTTGTCATGTGAATTGACAACAACTAGTGGTGTCTTCCAGAGATGTCAACTGTCACCATTCCTGTTCAACTTCATCGTAAATAGATTACTGTACACAGCCTTATATACGTCTAACTTAGGGATTGGTCTACTCCCTCAAGACCATCTGGTAAAGACGCTGACAAAATGCAGTGTCTTGTCAATGCATTGAGCAGAAATCGGAGTATCTTTGCGGTGCGTTTCACTGGCACCTGTCAAATGTAAGATGATGCTCCATAGCTGTTATGTAACCACTCCCAGTTAAATGGTAGGGAGTGGAGTGGTGTAATATGTCGAGCACTTTACTTACTTGAGGAAGTCGCATCAATCCAAACAGGCTGGTTGCAGACGAATTCTCAGCCCAGATACACAAGGTTCGTTTTGCATTTATCAACTTGCATCACTTGTGGCACCAACTGACAGGGTATCGGACCACCTATCAGCGGACGAGTATAATGCGCTACAGTCCGTTCTGTCCTGCTATACAGCTGTGAGACATGGTCGTTGAAAGTAGAAGACATAAAGCGATTACTTGGGTTTATTCATAGGTGTCTTAGTACCATTGCTCGCCTCTGGTGGAATCACCACGTGAGCAACGTTGAGGTCAGGTGAAGGGAACTAGGCAAGGTAGACAAGTCGATTGATGGGGTTGTGAACCTTAGTCAACTCAGATGGCTTAGAGATATACTGCGCATGTCAAGCGACCGCTCACCTCGACGTGGCATGTTAGGGGAGGTTGGGTTAGGTTGGAAGAGGGTTCAGGGTAACCAGATCAAGACCTGGAACAAGTCCATGAAGTCCCTGACTGTCGGTCTGAGCCGTGTGTGAAGATGCAGACTACGTGGGTGGGGTCACCGAGGCGATAGGAATCAGTGGTTGAGGACTCTTGGTGACATGGCTGAAAGTCAGTCGCGATGGTACAGAAGTATTCACTCCTTGACATCTTCTAAAGCTTGAATATTTGTACTAAGCGTTATCTTTGAATTGTTTACTCTATCACACAACTTTGTTCACTCTGATATCACTCTTTTTCTATTCAATTATTCTTTGGATATTAATGTGAAGTGTGGTAACTTGAGTCGATGCACCTGTGTGGGAGGTTCTACATTAATTTTGCCAGTTGTGTCAGTCAGACTGCTGACCTGAACCATAGATGTTTATGTGAGATACCTATTTGAGGTTCAAGGAATAACGAAATTAGACCAAGCTAAATTTAGGGCGATAAACTTCAAGTGGTGAAACTAAAAAGCTGTATATTGATACGAAGAAGTTTATTCTGATGTTACTTAAAACGATTATGAAAAATTTATGATTGATACATTACAGCTTAGGGAACACAACATAAAATTTGTTCACAATCACAAAAATAGATTAAGAATACTCACATAGCTCTTGATGCCACTTCGTTATATTTATCTATTAAATCATTTGTAACAAATTTCAATTCTTTAGATAAAAGACTCTCTGCAACAGGATCTATAGGACAAAACAAACAAACAAAAGATTAAGTGTTGAATATAAATTATGAAAGACTTTTTTGGTTGCAGTGTACAAGATATTAAAGAGTTAGTGTTCGACTATATTGTATAACATGATTGAAAATTGATTACAAACAACTAGAGTCATTTAAATGTTCATCTGAAATAATTAGCAACATCATACAGGCTTTCTGCTATAGTATAACCCCAAAACAATAGACCTTCTTAGGAACAGTAATCCTACCCAATTGTAAAGATTCAAGGTGATGGATTAGTTTATGACTAGTGACCACAATTTCGACGCTCGAATTTTCAGACTACTGAGTCCTACCTTGACAAATATATCTTATGAATAATAGATTTACGAATCCTGAAAACAAATACCGTATGTGGAAAGGGAACGATGTATAAATCTTCAGCCTCCACAAACCTATCCATCAATGGTCGAAGAAGAAAAGACGACTAGTAACTAGAATACATTAACATTGGGACTGAAAACAAAGACTCCGAAGAAATACCTAGGTCCATGATAAACAGGGGGACTGATGGTCTTTACAAAGTCTTCACAAAGCTTTTTATTGTACAGACTGATCACAATAAAAATTTAATTTATTCTAAACATATGGTCAGTAACAAAACGAACAACAACAACAAAAAGTGTATTATAAGAGTAAAGATACTGTGTAACTTGCAATAACACGCCGATCTTTATCAGTTAATATATATGAAGACTGAGTTAGAAAAAAATCAGTATAATCAATGAATAAATTGAACAGAAAATGTTATATCGTGAATAATTACATCAGTATCCAGTGGAGATTTGAGAATGTTTGGGATGTATTTATGGCCATCCAAATGCAAATTGTTGATTCAGAACTGATCTTCAACGGTAACCAGACTAATAAGAGTGAAGTGGTCGAGTGCGTTGAACACTTCACTTACCTAGAGAGTTCAATTAGCCCTGGTGGGATGTTGACCGATGAAACCTCTGCACGGATACAAAGGGTTCAATTGGCTTTCGTCAACTTACGCCACCTGTGGTGCTGCCACGATACACGGTTGTCTATTAAGAATCGAGTGTACTGTGCTGCAGTCCTCTCTGTTCTACTATATGGCTATGAAACATGGGTATTAAAGGTAGAATACATGAGAAGGCTTCAGGTGTCTGACCACCGTTGCCTTCGTAGTATAGGCCATGTTTCGTGGTGCCACCATGTGAGTAACGCAGAAGTCAGGCATAGAGTTCTAGGCAGGAGAAACAAGACAGTTGATGGGTTGTGAACCTTCATCGACTGAGATGGCTGGGGTATGTGTTACATATACCTAACCACCGTCTGCATCGTCACAAAATATTGGACGAAGTAGGTTCAAACTAGAAAAGGGCTCGGACTGGTCAGACTAAAACATGTCATCAATGCATGAAGTCCTTGACTGCCGGTTTGAGTCATGTAGGGCAATGCAGACTACCCGTTTGGAGTCCGCAGGGAAATAGAAACCAGTGGTTAAGGACTCTAGGTGATCACATGGCTCAAAACGGATGTCAGTGAAGCAGATGCATACATACATTATGGTCATATTAACCCCTATACTGAATCTCATCATCTCATTTTTCCTTCCTCTCTTTTACTACTTTATACTCCTACTTCCTTTGACCAATTTTTCTTTCCTTCATCATCTATTTTACTACCTTGTTACTTGATGTGTTGATGTGTGTGCTAGTTTGGACCGTTACGCAGTAGTGCCTGGTCCTATGTTGATCTTGATGATGATGACGATCCAGTTCGATTGTGTACATACTACAAATCATCATAGATGACATGTTACCTTAACTCTTCTCTCAGACACCTTAATCATGTGACAATATCAGAAAACACCATTTATTACACTAGCCTTGTGCTGCTGATTTGGATCAGTGAGAAGTTCGCAGTATGATAATCAAACTAAGTCTCATACAGTACGGCGTTTATGTGATTTCCAGAAGTTCCATGTTCGTTCAAGAACTCACCAATAATTTCTAAGGAAAATTGGGTGTTATGTTGGGTGGAAGACTTTGAAGAACAGTTCACCTGACCCACAGCCATGTTTCAGTGACGCAATACCAAACCAGAACTGGAATAGACGGTTGTTGTCGATCCGCCACCTCTTCATGAAACTGAGGAAACTGCTTTAAGCATGCAAAGAAGGACCCGAAAGTTTGCAAGCAAACGTTTAAGGGTCAAGGTAAAAATTTACACCCCAGGTTGAAAAAGATACTAGATAGTGTATAGATATCAAATGCCGTCCCAACAGGCTTGTCTACATCACTGATCGTTCCCGTTTTGAGATAGGAGAAAAGTGTTCACATGACAACCACGACAGAGATTAGTTTGACTAATAACAAGTTTAAGATCCCAAGATGTACAGTTTTCCGACACCTAACTGCAATGTGAGAACAAAAAACTGGAGAAAACCGGAAATTTTTTGGACCTGAAGAAGAGTACATCAACGACATCATCCTTCGAAAGGTTTTGGCAGCCATACTTACCGGCGGCTGCCATATTTTTTGACATGGAGGTGATGTAAAAATTCAGAAATTGAAAGGTGTTCTAACAGTGTCTGACTGTGAAGGCAGTACTAAGTATGTAATGCTAATCAATACTTTCCAATTGAACTCACAGAGCCATGTGAAGATTTATGGAGTGCTGTGATCTGAATTAACGACAAATAGTCCATTAGAGATGCCCGCTGTCATAATCGCTGTTCATCTTCGTTACAGATGTATTCACAGACATAAGCTTAGGTACCTAAGACTTCATATGGATTGATATACTCTCTGCACAGTATGCGACTGACTTAAAGTATGCAAACAATATTGTCCTGCTAGTTGAAGAAATCCATCTTTACAAACTCTTTATAACACGGATAAGAACAGAGCACAATGGTGATGTAAACTTTCTGCCAGTTTCACAGACTTTTATCTCTTTTTCTATTCCATCTTCTACACTTTTGCATACCTTAATGTCATTCATTTCCTATCCAACTTCCCTTTGTATTTTGTTAGAAAACGTGGGGCACTCGTGTACCAGGTTCTACGTTGACCTCTCTATCTGTCAGATATTCAAACCAGGGTTACTCATCGTTGAAATCAGGGTGCGTTATAGCCCAGCAGCTTAGTGTTAGTCTCTGACTTCACTTATGAGTAATGCATATTTGAAGGTGTATATATGCGATTTGTCGACGGGTGCGCATAAACAAAAAATATCGATCAAAGGAGCGGATATATAACATTTTGTACTTAGATTATTCTATCGTAAATGTATGAGTACTAGTACAATGTATGCAAAAAGCGGCAAAAATAAAAGTACTGTCTTTCAATTTGTCTGCGTTAACATTTTCGGACTAAAACGAATTGAATAACAATAATGGTCGATTACCTCTGTTCAAACTAACCAATCACAAGACTCCAAGCTATTATACTAAACTTCATACCCATTGAATAGTAACTAGCTACCATAACTCAGCAGTAGCTATGTGGATAAGTCTTTAATATTTGAAGAGAGTATGATTGCGTCTGAATATTAGAATGAAAAACAAGTATCCAGAAGGCAGATATATTCAGTTACAGCTTAGTGTTTAGAGGCTACACATTCAACCAATCAGGGACCTATTAAAACGCAAGTTCCACCTACCGAAGTTTTAGAAACTAGATAATATCACCAAATGTTGCACCATACTAAGCGTGACTTTTAGTATGTTAAGAATACCTGTAAATGGTTACTGACTTTAATTATACTATTCGATTTACCATATAATCAATCATCCGACGAGCGACGAATTGGAAACTACTGCTAACCATTATTTATAAACTCAAAACAAAGAAACTCCTTACATATGCAATATTTCAGAGCATTTTATGTGCACAAATGTCGGGTAAAATATTGATAATTATTGACTTATATGTTGTAACCATTATGCTTAATTAATGATGAATCGCGGCTAGCAAGGGAAACCAGTATGCTAACGGAGTAACCGCTGTGCCTCAGAAGTCTAGTGCATAACGCTTCAGTTATTAAAGCGACGGATGTTGGATTTGAGTCTCAATGGGAACAATATCACTCGTAGGGAAGTTGGTACATCTAACCTAAGAGTCCTAAATAAGATGAAGTTCACGTCCTCAGTTCCACTGCTAGCCGTTATCTATCATTAGTTCCAAACTTCAATTATTAAAACTATTAAGGCATCCACAAAGGGGCCCATATATACCAATAGTGTCCGATCAACTGGGCCTAATAAATGATACGAAACTACAAGCTAAAACACTGTACTTAACACAGCAGAGGCTCTATCATCGTTGAATATTAGTAACAATCAATTTGGTTGATCTTACCACATTAGAAATGATGAGTGTTGTTGGGAAATATAAAAATAACAGGGAAATAAGCTTATTTCAAATGTTCTAGTTGAATCAGTAAACATAAAGAAGCGGGTTAAACATACATTTTAAACCAGAGAAATACTAACAATGTCAAGTGATAGAAGACTGAGTTTAAAGTAGTTTCCAATATGTGTACACATAAGCTGGATAATCGCTGGAAACCACGCAGGACTAGACAACTGTTTATTTTGCAACTCCTCGGCAGTATGCAGCTACAAGCCCATGAAGGACAGGTTTTGGGGAAGGGTAGTTTCACAACCCACCTAAACAGCTAGAATAGCAATAGTCAGCTAAGAACCAATGAGAACTCATTAGTGTTATCACAGTTTTAGTAGATACTCACTCACTTGCTTTACTCATAAGGATGAAGACAACCTACTACAAATTAAAGATATGTACCATTAGTTAAAGTACTAGACTTTCATAGTTGAAAACCGACTGAACTTACTTCGACTTCATCAAGCGAATAACTTCATAAGTCCTTAAACAATTAAGTGAGGCTAGTACATATATTTTCACTGGCTTCAGTAGCAGCCTTATATGATACTCTAGACATCTAACCAACAATAAATACATGTATTCTGTTATACTATGTGGTTGTCGATTCGGGTTGATGACGGCGAATGATGTGATTTGGATAAATGTTCATGAACACAAATACACTCTAACCATTACGCGTTTTTACAGGACCATTATGAGACAAGTGTAAAAGTTTGACTCAGTCTAGTGTTTGACACTATATCAATATAAGTGTAAAACTTGGGCACTGTGGTAGAATTTAATTCCATATTAGACTTGTTTATTATTTGATTTATAACACACAGTGATACAGCATTATCTACCTAATGACATTTCGAGCATAAATTGTTGTTCATAATCATATCAATATAATCATACTACTTTGGACATCTGATTTTTATGGTCCTGTCACCTCTTATTCTGTGTTTCTATTGATAGTAAGATTTTCTATCTCTGGTATAGATGTCTCTTCATTCGTATTACATGTGTTGGGTGTAGATTCGATGAACAAAGATTCAGTAATCAATCTCTCTCCTCATTTAATTATATTGGACTGACTTAAGTACAGTGGTTTGTCCCACCCCTGTATGGGACGCGTTTCTGAAGCACACAAAATAAGTGCTAATAGTTAATAGTTATTCTCTACAGTTCATTAAGAAGTTCGTACGAACACATAAGAAACGAAATAATAACAGTAACACGAGTACGAATAATTACGACAACACAAGTAGAAAGGAGTTCACAGCCTCCATTGTGTTACCCTATAAAGAAGGCACATCAAAATCTTTACATAGGATCTTCAACAAAGCTGGAATTAGGGTGGCATTTAAACCTACAAACTCAGAGATAAGCTTTGTAGGCTGGCTTAAGGATCCAATTAAGCAAAATAATCCAACCTACGGAATTTGATAAATTCCATGTAATGACTGTGAGGTCAAGTATACAGGTCAAACTAACCGGTCGGGGTCAGTTAGAATAGTGGAACCTAGGAATTTAGCTAAATATAGAATGACATCCGAATAAAATCAATAATCTAGAAAAAAACGGCTATAATTAGGTAGAGAGAGAGATTGATCACTGAATCCTTGTCCAACGGACCAACACCCAACACATGTAATACGAATGAGGCGACATCTATACCAGAGATATAGAAAATTTTACTACCAACAAAAAAAAAGAATAAGAGGTGACAGGACTATAAAAATTAAATGTCAAAAGCTGTGTGATTACATTGATATGATTACGAGCAACAATTTATGCTCGAAACGTCATTGGGTAGATAATATTGTATTACTGTGTGTTATAAATCAGATAAAAAGAAATCGTATACGAAAGTATGACATTATACTCGGCATATGAGTTACATTTATGCATTGTTGCATAGCAGAGAAATGTCAATCGACACAAGATAAGATACCTAAGATTAGATTAAGCCATTACGTCATCAGTTGCACTGAATATATAAGGTGTTAGAGATAATAACAATCAATGTTTAGTTGCTAAGATTAAAGTTCAAGGTTGAGTGCTTAAATCAATAAACAACACTAAAAAAAAAATAAATGCTTTAGAAAATGAAATACAAACAATCGAAATAGTACTGTCAAGTAGAAACTGTTACTTGCATAAAAATTAATATCAAGGCAGAACAAAGGTATAGCTTATAGCGAAAACTTAAACATATCTACGTATACGGTTCTAATAATTATACAGTACTTTAAAGGTTGATTTGAAGTCGTTTCTCTGACTAGTTTCTGTACATCTACTTATAAATGATGACTTTTTTTTACTGCCTATATTTAACAAAGTATTAGAGTGTAGTGTACTACACCACCCTAATGGCATTATATAGTTTTCGAGGCCTCAGCTCTACAGAAGTATGAATTTGTTTTGTTCTATTCATACACAATTTGTGATTAGATTAAATCTTCCTTGGTAATGTTCTTCGCATTTTAATACTGAGGTTAATATGAAAGTATATTGTTTTTTTTTGAGATGAATGGGGATTTTTAATTTCTAAGTAGTATTCATCATGGACTGACATCAGTTGGGGAACCATTGAAAATCTAGGAGCACTGGACAGCTGTTTCGTCCTAGTATGGGACTCCTCAGTAGTACGCACCCACGACCCCGCCACAGATCGGACTCAGGACCTTCAGGTTTCACGGCGAACGCGTTAACCATTCAGCCACTGGATCGATTTTCAGTGTTTCACAATTTCCAACTTCTGTCAATTCACGACACAGCGCGACTATCACCCAAGGTCTTCAGTTAGCATCCACTTCACTGACAACTGGTTGACCCCACACGTCACGGCTTCTCATTAGAGCTTCGTGATATCCATCTGGAAGTAAGTCAACCGGTCGTCAGTGAAGTGGATGCTAACTGAAGACCTTGGGTGATAGTCGCGCTGTGTCGTGAATTGACAGAAGTTGGAAATTGTGAAACACTGGAAACCGACCCAGTGGCTGAATGGTTAACGCGTTCGCCGTGAAACCTGAAGGTCCTGAGTCCGATCTGTGGCGGGGTCGTGGGTGCGTACTACTGAGGAGTCCCATACTAAAACGAAACAGCTGTCTAGTGCTCCCAGATTTTCAATGGTTCCTCAAGTGATGTCAGTCCACAATGAATACTACTTCTATATTGTTTTTTCTTTATCAACTTCTTACATTTAGACCAATTATCTCAATTTATTTATCTGACGCCATTCTATTTTCACTTTTCGTATGAAATGCTTTAATAGGTAGTTAGTGTCCAAAATATATTGCACAAATACATTTACAAATGAACTATGTCTTCTTACTACATGATGCAAATTCATGAGATCGACTAACTTATGAAAAAAAATATGAATAAACCGATTATCAGAAAATTATCAAAAACTGTGACGAGATAAATAGGACTAGGACAGAATAATGAACTATACTTCTTATTCAAACATAGTAACAAGTAATAATCTTCAGGAAAATATTTAATTTAACAAAATTAAGATGAATTCCTAGTAGTTTTTATTGCTCTTCGAAACTGTGTATATTCTTGAAAAAGGCATCCTACTCTTAAAACCACTCAGTAATTCCCAACTGAAGTTTCATCGTATTAAACGAGACTTTTGAATAGTTTACCTTGTAACATCCAAACACTACGTGCAAATTTCAATTCATCTAGAACACCAGTAAGACGTTTAACTCCATCTATATATGAATAAACAAAAGCAAAGAATTAGGAATTTATGTTGGTGGCTGTAACTAGTTAACTTATTTGAAATTATTTCCAGTTACAAACTTAATCCAGTTGAAGATAGACCAAAAAAGAGTATACAAGAATCACCTCATCGTAAGATGATAACTTTAGACGCTGGTCTATCATATATGACTCACACAATTAATTCGGTTAGTTGGTACTGAAATATCTTCCCTCAGATGAAAACACAAATTTAATATTTCATCCCAAACTGAGTAGCTATTTCCTCTTAATTTGAAGTTATTCGTTTACGCAAACAAAAAGCCTCATGTATATTACTATTCAACTGTTATGCTGACAATAAGTGGTTCACATTTACCAACTTCCGTTGGTTAGCGTTTCAGTAAGATCATCATCTCATGTCATCGGTAAACATTCATCCCGACTCCCAACTTTATACATATATATATATATATATATATATATATATATATATATATATATATATATATATATATATATATATATATATATATATATATATATATATACATCAGTAGCCTGGCCAACAAAGGACTGAATGGTAATCTACTTGGTTGTGGCTACCGGGGAATCCAGGATGCGCGTCTCGCCCCATTTGGGACTCGTCAGCTAGATGTGCTTGCACCCCAGTGAGTGATGTTGTTCCCACTGAGACTCGAACCTCGTACTCATCGCATCCAAATTGGAATCCATATGCCAATAGAGTTCGAACAATCCGATCCAGTTTAACAACGGAGAATTACAAGTACATCTATAGTTATAAAGAACTGAATGGTTTTGAAAAACTCGGGCACTCAGTTAATATGATTCATTGTATGTATAAGGTGCATTTTACTTGTGAACTCCCGGCTTAGTGCATAAGAACACATAACAAGGTTTCGATTTTGTTAAGAAGATCGTTTTCGAGAGTATGAATCAGATATTCGGTTTTCAAGTTCGGTATAGAAGGTGACCTTTATGATCACCCAGTTACATAGTGATATAGAACAAAGATAAATATCATGTAGGTGAGTGAATTAGCGAATCGATTACAGAGGCTTATTCCAATTGTACAAGTAAGGTAGAATACAATGATCTTCCTAGCATGACCCAAAGGATGAGGAATAATAAAAATACTTGTTTATTTCATTATCAGGCCAGAGATAACAGGTAAAATATACCTTTTACATATATTTACTTTTATTGGACACTAGGGAGTTGGTGAAGCCTTGAGGTTTCATTAGGAAATGAAAACAACATTCCACCAGTTAGTAGACTAATGGCAATCAGTGAATGTAACCCAACAGTCATGAATTAGTTTTTAGGTTAAACGATAAAACATATCTATTGTGAGCTTGAATAAATCTACCTAGTCATCACAGTAGTAGTGGGTAGAACTGAATTCGAACTAGTCAACTACTATTCAACACCATATGAAACACCGGTTAACCTGATTTCTGTGAACTAACACGATATGATCTGTAGTTGATGAACTAATACTAGTAGGAAACAGATATCGATCATTCATAAGTTTTCTCTCAACCAGCTGTCAATAAATCAGTTAGAACCAAATGTAAAACTGAAATAAGTCTACTAGTGATCCAACTGATGATAAGTAGATTCGAATAGCATATGTATTAATAAGTTTTCCCATGATGACAATGTGAATAGATGATTGAGAGTAAACGTTTTTTGCACAGGAAACGTTTAATGATGAGTTAGGATGAAACAACTGTATAGTGCTCCTGGGCTTTCAGTAGTTCTCCAACTGATATCAATCCGTGATGAATACTAATCTGAAATAATTCAAGATGAATTTAAACCTAGTTTTTAAGAAGATAAGTATGTCTGTCAAAAAATATCTTTGCTGGCTTGTATGATTAAGTGATACTCATACAGTACATACTGAAGCTAAGAGTCTATAACATACTAGGTAATTAATCTATGTCATCAAAAAAGAGGATACATATCTTGAAGCTAGTACTACTCGGATTATCCATACATTTTCAAGTTCATCATGACAACCACCGTCAATGAGAAAAAACTGATGTATGATCGATGCAACATAGGACTGATACTTATCTCAATGTCTCACTTTTTTCAATTCATAAAACTATTTTATAGTAATACTAGTACTCCCTCCGCTCAAATGTTTGCATGATTTGAACTTTCGTACAGCTAAGGCTTCAACCTAAGCAGACGGTATTGGCGGCTCCTATACAATGATCTAAAAGTTCTTTTGGAAGGAAAATTGAAATTTTTAACAGAGACATTCATGGTGAACGTAAATCCTCTGAAGTTTATCAACCACTATAAAAACGACTCGACGGTGCGAACTAATCAGTGTTCTGTTCAGAAGAAGGATGTTTACAGCACGCTACCGTATAAGGGTAAAATCAAACAGTATGATATTATGACGAAGACTCAATCCAGTCATAAAAAGAAATACTACGCAGCCGAGCTTAGTATTACCGAGAAAACGAAACATATGCTTCAAAATAAACCTCATCACCTCATAAATGATTACGTCACACCCCACTGTGTATACTAATTTACATGTGTGAGATGACAGTACATTGAGAGGAGTAATTGAATTATAAAGTCGAGGGTGGGGTATATCCCTAAATGGTTAGAAAAACAATTACATTCAAATAATCCGATAAATCAGTGAGAAGCGAGAAGTAGGACATACTCTGTTTGACCGATGAAAAGACCCCTGAAGATTTGGACTTCGCCGACAATGATGATTTATGTCTAATGTCTTGTTGCACAAACTCCAAGATCTACAGGCAAAAAACAACAAGTTGACAGAAGGGGCAGGGCAGCGAAGGGAGACGGGACTTCCTTCAGGTCAACGTAGAGAAGACAGAGGTGATGAAGATACCCAACTAATCACCATCAACAGCAGAAATCTAATGGAAGTTGTCTCATTTCAACTACCTAGGCAGCATCGTTTCAACTACAGGTGGCATAGATGAAGATGTCGAAGACAGGATCGGAAAGACAGCAAGACAGGGCTTCCTGCGTTAATCTGAAATCAGTGTGGAGATCTACTCCACTCAGCATAAAGCGTCAACAACATCCAGATTTTCAACACCAACGCCAAGGCAGTGCTTCTATGTGATGGTTGAGAGACTTGGCGACGCGTTACGAAAAGCATTTCCAACAAACTGCAGACATATATCAACAGCTGCCGCTTACGTTCACTCGATACTGAAGATTAGACAGATGGCCAGGAAGAATAGGCAACAAAGAACTCACTCTGGCATGTCAACGAACCAACCAAGAACCTATCACGCAACAAATATGCAGAAGAAAGTGGAGACGGATTGGATATACACTGAGAAGACCATTCGGGGACATCATGCGCCAGACCAAGCCCTCAAGTGGAACCCAAAGGAGAAACGATGAGTTGGGCGTCCGAGGGTGACATAGATGAGATCGTGTGAGGAAGAAATGAAAGCTTCTGGGGAGTCATGGGGCCAGGTTAAAAGGACCGTTGATAACAGAGTGAAATGGTGACGTGCAACTGAAGCCCTATGTTCCCATAGGAACCCAAGGGAAAAATAAAAAATAATAATAGTCCGATAATTATAGGGAGCAGACAGACGTCATCGTCGATAGGTAAACACATAGAAACAGGTCACAGGACTGATCCCAAAACAGCCTTTAGACCACTGTATAAGAGCCACCAAGACCGTTTGAATGATTGTCACCAAAGTAGTTATTAACTTGTACGACAAAGAAAAAGAGAAATACTTACTCATATATTCTAAAAGTCCGTCTTCCGATTGATTGTAACGTTGTATCGTTTTCTTTAAGTAAATAAAGAGGAGAAAAGTGGAGACAAAAAAATAGTAGACAAGTTAAACAACTAAAAATTCAGCTAAAATATCATCAGAGTTACAGTGATTGCATATATAAGAGTAATGAACTAAAAAAAAGCGTAGTAAGCAGTATACATCTGATAAACGTGATAGTGACGAGGTGGTTTAGAGATAGTGATTATCGAAAATATTGCAATTTATGATGAAAATTTACCATTACTTTGACTCCCATTTAGTATCCTTCGTTCTGATACTCAGTAAACGGTTGCAGCAAGAATGCAAGTGGAGACTGATGAAATAGCTTACTGAGAAATTATAATCAATTTTAGTAAATATGAAAGGGTTACAATGAACATAGTTCATGTAAATAATCCATGCATTCTACATTTGAAATGAGCTAATCTTCAATTTATGATGTTTCTTCTGTACTTTTTCCCTATGTTTCTCGTTTCGGTTTTGAGAACCTTTATCTAATTGACGATAACTGCCTTTTTCTCTCTCCAGGGACATTATGTTACTTACTGTTTATATATGCTCATATAAGTAGCATACATCAGTCTGTGAAATTAAAAGCAGATAGATACACAAACAAAGTTAACTCACTACATAAGCAAGTTTTAATATGATCCCAGTGTGTTCTTCTGAAGAAGCTGTACCATATACAGCGAAACGTTCGGAAAAAATCTTGTTTTCATTTTCTAAACATCCTGGGATTATACTAGAACTTACTTATATAATGATTAAATCTGACTCGATGCTTAACTTCTTTCAGGACTAACAAAGTTAAAACTTAGCAAAAACATGCAAGAGTGTAAATTGTGATGTATCGACACAGTGCAAAAAGGAATTCAGATCAAAAGATGTGAAGACGACAAAGTAAATAATCAAGGTCAGTATGATATTCAGGAGTTTAGTGACCGATTTTCAGTCATGCAAAAGAAATTCTCCAAGCACCGATTACTAACATGTCAACGATTCTAGCTAGTAAGGCTAAACTTCTTCATAAGGTTCAAGCCAACAACTGGCGACTCATAAACTGGTATCAAGTTTTCACCTGATCATCATCTTTGAGTTTAAGCAACCCTATCCTGTTTTAGATTAAACTGACTGCGCTGGCAAGAATAACGTATATCTCAGTCAACTCAGTTGTTTTTACTTCATAATCGAATTGATTGGTTCACTTTCTTCGCTTAAAGTTATATTTAAACTCTACATGATTTAATTTATGGTTTAGCTACACTTTTATTGCTGTATCTAGGCTAGTCAGATGCTTTTTCACAGGAATATCGATTCTTGAATAAAAGAGTTACTCGGTGACCTCCAGGAATTGGGGGATTATTATAGAGGCGTCTTTAATAGCCACCAGATTTCAATAACGGTAACTTTCTGTATACCTTTAAGCAACCTTACAAGTTCGAACAAAGGATAAGAAACAATTCCAGATACGATTCAGTGTCGAAACCAGTGGTGATCATAGCATAAACCATATTTTCTTGCCTGCACAGCACTATGAATCACAAAAAAGTATATTACCGTTTTGGAAATTTCCAACTTCTTAATCGCTACTACCGTTACTCATATCAGAGATCTGATGAATGGGTAGCTTATTAAACAACTTTTATCACGAAGTAAGGTGCAAGAACTATTGGAAACCAGACAGCATTCAGTATGAGTTCCATTGAAGTTCAGATTTCTTCACAAGTGTAGATTGTCTACCCTATACAGGGTCGAACCTAACGAATTACGATCTCTCGGTGAGAATATTACCATTCAACCGCAGTGCCTTAATTTGTCGCAGATATGCAAAAGTTTTAATGAAACAGTGTACCTCATTGCACTAATTAATGGAGTTGGAAGTGACAACGAATACTTATCAGTAGCACTGACTTGACTACCGTTAAAAGAGTCACATATCAGATTCCAATCCAACAGTGTAGTGATGACATGTTGGTAGTGAGACTGATACGTCTGTGGTTTAATTTTGAGTAGGGTTAAGGATATGTACTTTGTAAAAATAAGAGATTACGATCAAATGTACAAATAACAGATGCTGTGGTTTAGAATAATCATACTAATATTAGTAACAAGAAAATAACACAAATTTTAATTAGACTGCATAATACCATAAATAAATAGATATCAGACTTACCGTACCCATTGAAATGACCAAGTGTGTAGGTGTAGAGACATGATTCATTTTATTACCGTCTATATTTGATTCAGTAACACTGGACAAATTAGTTGAACCACTCCATGATTTAAATAAGTTTAGTGTATCATCTGTAATCTCATCATGATGGAAGAAGCGCTAACAAAAGCAAACAGAAGCAATACTAATGATAATAATAACAGTAGTAGTACTACACCGTCGTTGATTGGACCGAATTGATCAGTCTCTGTTGGCATATGGGCTCCTGTGCGGATGCCTCGATATTGCCTGTCTTTTAACTATGTATAGTAATGATGGGCAGTGGCTAACAGTGGAATCCAGGATGCATATTTTGGCCTATTTGGGACTCGTAAGCCGGATGTACCTGCCTCCCAGTGAGTGATGTTGTTCCCACCGGGACTCGAACTCGGGAGCGATCGCTTCAAACACCAGAGCGTTTTCCATTACACCACCCCGAATAGGACGAAACGCGCATCCCGGATTCAACTGCTAGCCACTGTCCATCATTACTATGCAATAATAACAACAGTGTGTTTGAGGAGTTGAATAAGGTAAACAAAGGAAAGTAAAGAAAATCAGTTAGTCTGAATATTAGGCTAAACTACACGCCTACTTTGTGTCAAAGTCTGAATTGGTATCTAAATAGTTACAACTTGATCTACTGTTTAGTATGCAACTTTACAACCATATAGAAATTCATGAACTAGACAGTCATACTTAAAGTAGTTATCCGAATTATGGTAGGTGAAACACGACATGAACCCACAGTCTACTGGTTTATAGTTGAATACTCAAGTCAATGAGTCATAACTTCATCAACTATCCTAGACGATTGAATACCAGTTCTATAACAGATGAGTGTATTTTGTAAAACTTGGAAATCATCTTGTGAAAAATAATGTTACATGACTTCTTGTTTTTTCTTGAACAAGAGATCATAAACTTTATCCCTTGAAGTGTATTCATTATGGATCGAAAGATCTGAAGGTTTGTTTTACCAAAATGGGTCTATAATTAATTGGTTGTTTTACAGATGGGAAGAAAAACTGTTTATCATTTCAACGATTTGCAGCATCATTGGAGGAAATCAATAGAAATAGAACGATATATTTATATATAGGAGAGATAAAAGACATTGGTGAAAGAGAACAAGTAAATCAAGAGTAGTGGGATATTTAGTGTTTTGAGGAAAATGCTGTTGTGATCAATATTAGAATCTTCGATCTTACTGATAGTCAATACCCTAACGTAATGATAAGATACGTTTATCACAATGATAGTTGATACGCAATGGATAGAAGTTAATGACAATGACAATTAGCTAGAAGAGAATAGCAAACATGAAGCAGATAATATCATAGTGTAAGTGATTTGCATTACAATAGAAGTTTAAGAGAGAACTTGTAATGCCAGCTGGAAAAGTGTGAATATAGGCATTTCGAATAAAGCCGCCTTCATATTCTGGATAGTAAGACTTCAAAACATATGACCTTAAAAGTTGCCAATTCTGCTTCACTATACGGTGTTTTGTTGACAGTGACATTATTCCCTAATCATACTTCCAAACCATCGTGTACAACTGTCGTCAGTAATTTGTACTTTTGACTTAGCTGTCAACTAGTTCTAATTTTCGACTGTAGAAATCCACTGGCTTCTATGACATGAGTATCCGAAAAGTACTAATTTCTCACAATAAAAGACAAAACTCTTCTTTCGTTGATTAAATATCTATTAACCTTGAATGTAAAAATTCATTCTGTTAAGCTAGGTGAACAATAACCCTAACCGTAGTATGCATATGACAAGGCACTATAATCACTCAATTAATGTTTGAAAACTATCATTTACTCAACTTCATCTCTGACCATATGCATATAAAATACCAGATTGTTATTAGGATATTAAAAATGAATACTATCGAATTGTTGTCCAATACACTGAATTAGGCTAATAAATCGGGTAGGATTATACAATTCATTCTCTCATTTTGAATTTTCACTCAAAACTTTGATATGTTTCAAATGTACGTATGTCTAGAAACTGAAATATCTAGCTATTTTTTCATAATGATCGTCTTTTATATACAGAGTAGAGTAGTGAGTATATTATAAAGTAAAGATTATGCTGGGAGGTTAAGGTTTAACTTTGTCAGTTCTACGCTGTACTCTTCAGAAATGAGAAACAATAATTTGAAGAATCGATAGCTATTTAATTTAAGCACCTTATTACGTAGTCTCCTACTAATTAAACTCGAAAATTTTCGTCGAACAGCTAGTTACTCAGTACCTACTCTCTTGGATCTTCTTGAGGTAGAGAGAAAAGATTTCTCCAGATCAGAAACATTAGGATCGAGGGTAGGTAACTATAACCAAGTTACGCGGATTGACTGAACTTTTGATAAAATTATCCAACCAAAGCAAGATGTGTAGCAAAGAGATAAAAAATTTGTCTTAAAAACCACTTACCAAATCAACTTCTCCAGTTACATATTGAGAATCATCTGTTACGCTCATTTTTGATGTAAAATTCTCTCCAGTAGCTCCATCATTTATGTGGTAAACAAAAGCTTTGAAAAGCTTTTTCAATCGTGAATCTCCCACAAAATAGAGTCGAACTACATCACCCCAAGGTGCAAGTCTTTTAAAGCATTTATGGCTATCCCTTATCCCGAATTATACAGGGAAATAAGTGCTTACCTCGACAGATAAGTATGTATCATGCAACTATATGGTCGAAACTCTCCATCAGGTCCTGACCTGCCATCACTCAGTAGAGATTTGCACAAATTGCCCCCTGATATTAAAAAAAGAGTTAGATAGATACCTGATTTTGTCATTAGAAATCCATGGTAGATTGATACTATTATCATCAGAAGGAAAGATATTCTCTTCGCATTTTTAAAGTTTATGACCTCTTTGATTGCAGAGGCAGCTCGAGCTGACGACATTAATTTGAAGAGTTACGCATTAATAATATGGTTCTGATGTGGTTGACTTTAAGCAACGGGGAAAAAAATCTGGAAAGAAGTTTGGATAATAGCTTTTCGAGTTAACAACAGAATGAAATTGGCTACTATAAAAAAATTACTCTAAAATATGAATACTATCTATTGATCTCAATATAACAGGATTTGAATATAGTGCGAAAACAAGATTATTTAACTGCTTCAAGAGTTCCAGCTTCATAACCAGACTGATTCAAATCATCGTATCAAAATTAGCATTTTAGTCTGGGCCACATATATTGTAAAGGTTAAGGTTTTTGATATACTGAGGTGATATAAACGGAGTGTTTTTGAATTTCTGACCAATCAAAAGTCCAACTACTCGTAAAAATGTGAGTACACTGCCGAGAACTACTCTTTTTCCAAACCCTAAAGCTATGAAATATAGCTGTTGGGAATTAGGTGTAGCTATAGGTATTCTACTATGGGACTTGTCATGAATTTTTTCATACGTTGTGTCACCGGTTTGAAGTCTACTTACCTACCGAGATTTGAATAACTCAGGAGTATTATTAACCCTCACACGAGATGTGGCTGGTTACACAGTTTACAAACCTGTACTTGGTTTCTGTGTTGTGTCTATTACCATTGGTGAAATACCCAATAACAAACTTTGGTGCAAAGTGGAGGGTAATGGTAAGTGTAGAGAACCAGTTGAAGCTGAGGGTAAACAGTATGACGTAAAACATGGAAGCAGTCCTTAATCAGATGCAGTCGATACGTTTGTCACGGAAGTCAAACTACCACTTACCACAATATGTGGTGATAACTTGAGCGCAACTTGGTAAATAAAAACAGTTTAACTTAGGTTGTGCGAGTGCTTATGAAACAATCTGGTAGGTCGAACCTATGGCCTAATATGTCAACGCTAGATGACTAGGCTACCAGAAAGGAGTTGTTACAACTCCACAAACTGAAGGGTGTGATTAAAGTGATCAGTGATAACTTACATTTGTTGTGTGAGCAAAACATTGGATAGGTGGAGTGGGGTTCCAAATCTGTGAACCATCAGTTAAGAGTCGACTAATTAGGTCAAAGTGAAACAGTTTCTACATGGTATGGCTGAAATCCTGTCACAATGACACAGATATTTACTTTTCAGCCTCTTCAGAAGCTTAAATATCTTATTACTTAATGTCGCTTCGTCCGCTATTTATACATGTTCTCATTATTTTAATATTCTTTGAAGTTTTTTTCGCTCTCAGCAATGTAGTGAATCTAGGCAACTTGATCAGATTTACTTATATGAGAGTTTCAATGTCGTCTTATAATTACTCAACCATTTATGTTTCGACAATGTCAGATATGTTGCATTTCCATCACTGAGTCATTTCCCATGCACACAATAAAAGGTATCACAAAAGGTGCGACACAACACTGAAGGATAGAATCAATAAGGATGGAAAGATAATAAAATATACAAGAAGAATTATATGAGAGAAGGGGGGAAGAATCAAATTAGAGTAATAATACGTTCAAGAGCTTGAAGAAGAGTGAGCACATCCAATTGTTGATTTTTAGAAACTCACAAGCCCAAACTAGGTAGGATAAACCTTGCATGCTCCTTAATTTCATAGTTATTTACTTTAGACACTCACACTTACTTGATTAATTTGTGGATGGTAATCTGATTATAGTAAGTGTATATTTAATGTTTACTGACTATTATCAATCTTATTTGTCCCTTGGGTTCCTAGTGGAACATAGGGCTTCAGTGGCCCGTCTCCACTGCACTCCGTTCTCTTGTCCCGTGGACCCCAACCACCTAGTCTGCATCGTCCTACATGGCTTAAACCAACAGTCAGAGACTTCATACATTGGTGCCATGTTTTAGTCTGGCCACCTCCACCCTTTTTCCAGCCTGGACCCACCTCAGCCAACATTGTGTGACGAGGCAATCGGTGACTAGGCATACGTAGTACGTGTCCCAACCATCTCAGTCGATGAAGGTTCACAACCTCGTCAACTGACTTACCTCTTCTCCCTAAAACTCTACACCTAACTTCTGCATTACTCACATGGTGACACCACGGAATGCGTCCTATACTACGAAGGCAACGGTGGTCAAACACCTGAAGCCTTTTTGTATCCTCCACTTTCAATGGCCATGTTTCACAGCCATATAGTAGAACAGAGCGGACTGCTGTGCAGTACACGCGACAACACACTCAACCACTTCACTCTCTATTGTTAGCCGCGGTACCGCTGAAGACCAGTCCTGGAGCAAAAATTTGCATTTGGGTGGTGAAAATCGCATCCCAAACATTCTCAAATTCCCACTCAAAGTGTTCAGAAGACTCTGCATCTTGTCAGCGTCTTCACCTAACAGGACTATGTCATCTGCATATTCTAGATCTAAGGAAAATTCACCTGTGATCGGTCAACGTCTTTGTAATTAGGTGACGAGAGGGAAACCTCCATAAGAATATCTATGATAAAATTAAATAAGAATGGGGATAGTGGGCATCCTTGACGGACACCACTTGATGAGTATAGCTCCCTGGACAACTCACCATAGGCTCTAACATGCCCACAAGTGTTCGAGTAGAGAGCTTTCAATAAGGTGATGTACTTACTAGGCACGCCTTTCAGTGACAGACACTGCCATAAGACTTCTCGATCAACGGAGTCAAATGCCGCCTTCAGGTCGAGAAATACAGCTATTGTCGGGCGTCTGTAAGCATGCCTATGTTCCAGGACCTGGCGCAGTGTGAATATTTGGTCGATACATCCACGGCCAGGTCTAAAGCCTGCCTGGTTTTCTCGGGCTTGCTGTTCCCGAGCTCCACTCAGGCGTCGGAGAATTATAGAACTTAGGATCTTAGACACTATGTTTGTCAGGCTGATTCCTCTGTGGTTATCACAAGAGGACTTCTCGCCTTTCTTGAAGACTGGGATGATGAGTGACTTAGACCAGTCGGAGGGGATCGTATTTGATTCCCATATACTGGCTAACACTTCCGTTAGCCTGACTAAGAGAACTCTACCACCATTCTTGTATACCTCAGCAGGTAGTCCGTCTGGTCCTGCTGCCCTTCCCCGTTTCAGGCTACCTACCGCTTTCTCAACTTCTTCTAGTGTTGGGGGACCTGTCTCTATGTCCCATTCAGGGTCCGACTGGATAGCGGGCAGCGCAATGGTGGCTGGAGGCCAGTTAAACTGTTCCTCAAAGTGTTCTGCCCATCGTCCCAGTCGCCTTCCCTGCGAGTGAATCGCCGATCCGTCCTTCTCCGCTATAACCTCACTAACTGTTGTTGACCATTTCCCCCCAGTCTCCTTAATAAGTCTAAATAACTGTCTACTGTTACCGATCGCCGCTGCCTTTTCCATCTCTTTAGCCTTTGCTGCCCACCACTGTTCACGATCGTTGCGCAGACTTTTCGTCAGTTATTTTTAAGTTGCGCTCGCTCTTCATTGTACTCAGAGCCTGCAGGGATGCATTCACGTGCATCCATTAGTTTGGAAGAAGCTGCTGATATCCACTGGCTCTTTTTAGCCATTATCTTGGAGTCGGCTACAGTCTCCAGTGCTGCTTTTACAGTAGACTGAAGATGGCACCAAGCTTCTTCTGGATGAGTGACAGTCTTTTGTTCCGATAACTGCCTAGCCAACTTCTCACTGAACACGGCTTTGGTGTTTTCGTTGTCCAGCAGAACTCGTAGTGGTTTTGTTGCCAAATTTTTTCTACGTCCATTGAGACGCAGGCATATACGTGCTCGGACCAACGCATGATCGCTGTCCAAACACGTACTCCAGAAGGAGCGGCAGTCTTCCACCGATCCTCTCCAGCGATGACTAATAGCAATGTGGTCTATCTGTGTCCATCGCTGAGTCGAGCTCGGTGGACGCCAGGTCAGACAGTGCCTTTCTTTATGTCTGAAATTTGTGCTGGCTAAAAATAGGCGGTTATCTGAGCATAGTTGTAATAGGCGATCACCGTTATCTGTACGTTCAGCTGGGATTCCGAAAGTGCCACCTAAGTGCCTTTCTGCCTCACTCAGTCTACCCACCTGTGCGTTGAGGTCACCTGCAACAACCACTACGTCCGAACGTTTGGCTTTCGAGAGGAGGTTAGACAGTTTATGGTAGAACTCGTCCTTCACTTCATCCGAACTACAGTCAGTGGGTGCGTAAGCAGAGATTACAAAGAGACAACGGCGAGTCTCACTATTCCTTTTAGTTCTCACTGTGCCGTTCAGCCTCATAGCGCAGAGGCGACTATCAACTGGGATCCAGTCTAGTAGTGAGTTTTCTGCCCTGGTGCTTAATGCTATACCTACACCTGCAAGACCACGAGAGCTAGCTATCGAATCTCCAGAAACTCGAAGGGTGAATTTTGCAGATTCACCAGATTGGTCAGGAGAGGTCAGGTGAATAACCACACTTGGGTCCTGTATGCGTGTCTCACAAACACAGCACACATCCATGCCCGAGTTGCTAGAGTCTTTGCCAACGAAGCCTGTTGGCCAATTTGACGGAGGGTGCGGACATTGAAGGCTCCAATATGTAATTTGGAGCGTGGTTTAAGGAGACCAGGATGCTGTTCTGTGGACTCAGATCGTTGTCGAAGGCTGCAGAGGTAGGAGAAATTGAAGATGATGCAGCATCATTAATTAAGAGACGTGAAGGAAGATTAGAAGGTAATGATGGAGGAGGAGGATAGCAGGATTGCCATGTAAGACGTGTTTCTCCCTATGCTTAAGGTTAGTACCGGCTAGAAACAAGTGACTGTCGGAGTGGAATTGTATCAGACGACCACTGTTGTCAGTTCATTGGTATGAGATTCCGTAAATAATCGCATGATCCCCTTCCCTACTTCAGAGTTAAAGTCACCTGTCATTATGGCTACATTCGAACGTTTTGCTTTCTGTGGTAAAATTGACAGCTTCTCATAGAATTTATTCTTTGCATCATCCAAACTACAGTCGAAGGGTGCGTAGGCA